CTCCCTCTGCCCCCCTCCACCCACCCACACTCTCTCTAAAATAAAAAATAAAAAAAAAAACTGCATAAGCCAGAAGGTACTAGGATGACATCTATATAGTACTGAAAGGAGTCAACCCTAAATTCTATACCCAGTGAAAACATCTTTCAAAAATGATGGCAAAATACAGATTTTTCGCTTGTCACCATAGGTGAGCCCAAAGCTTTCCAGCACCATCTGGGGAGGCATCTATGTTTGCGTAGGTTTTCAAGTACCTTCTGATATCAGCATCTCTGTGTACTAGCCTTCCCTTAGACTTTTTTTTTTAATCTTTCTATTTGAAATAATTTCAAATTTAAGAAAAAAGTTGCAAGAAGTATTTTAAGAACTCCAGTATGCCCTTCACTTACATTGTCCGATTAACATTATACTGCAGCTATCTGCCTTGTAACCCTCTTCAGGTGTATCTATGCATATTTTTTTCTGATGCTTCATTACCCTCTTAGCACTTCAGTGTGTGTTTCCTAAAATATAAGGACACTGTCCTGCAAAACTACAGGAAACTATCAAATTCAGAAAACTAACTTTGAAATGGTACTACCATCTAAACCACAGACACCATTCAAATTTCACTAGTTGTCCCAAGAATGTCCTTTATAGGGGCGCCTGGGTGGCTCAGTTGGTTGAGTGTCCGACTTTGGCTCAGGTCATGATCTCGTGGTTTGTGAGTTCAAGCCCCGCGTCGGGCTCTGTGCTGACGGCCCAGAGCCTGGAGTCTGCTTCAGATTCTGTGTGTCTCTCTCTCTTTCTGCCCCTCCCCCACTTACACTCTATCTCTCTCTCCTTCAAAAATAAATAAACATTAAAATAAAAAAAAAAAAGAATGTCCTTTATAGGTCCAGGATCCAATCCAGGATCACTCATTGCATTTAGTTGTAGTATCTCTTCAATCTCCTCAGTCTTTTCTTGTCTTTCATCATGTGGACAGTTTTGAAGAGTGCAGGCAGTTACTTTGGATTTTTCGGTCTTGTTGGAAGTAGGTTCAGTTTGTGCACCTTTAGCAGGAATATCACAGAAATGATGCTGTGTTCTCAGTGCATTGTATCAAGGGACGCACAATTTTGACTTGCCCCATTACACTTACTAGTTAATAAATTATATTAGTTGTCATTTCACTGTAGACCTTTTTCTCCCCCATTTATTTAATTATTCACATGAATATGGACTAGCAGATTCCTATTTTTATTCACTGAATTCAAATCCATTACTACTATTATTTTGATGCTCAAATTGTCCCAGATAAAGCGAATAGAAATCCCTTTAATCTGGCTTCTGTATCCTTTGGACATGTCTCCATTATTCCTTGAACACTTTCTTACTTTCTGGGACATCAAGATTCTCCAGGCTTACTTTGAACTTTCCTTACCCGAGTCCTCAAATCAGCCATTTCTCCATGGAGCCTTGATATCTATTATCAGAGAGTGGTATTCAGAAATCAAAGTGTGTAGGCCTTGCGACTGGGATGGCATTGCCTCTAGGCTTTTCTAGGGGATAGAACTCAGACATATGTACGTATTTCACACACATGTACACACAGATATGCAACTATAGCCATTTTGATATTTATCTAAATCTGTTAAAAGCCAGGTATCATCTAGATACCCCCAGTTCCAACCCAGTACCGTAAGATTTATTCAAATCTTCCCCATTTCCATCTTCATAAATCGATCCTCTGACAGTGAGAAAGGAGCCTGGCTCCCATCATCTTCAGTATGTTTATTATTTGTTCGGTCCCTTTATACGTAACTCATCCTCGAACCTGGAAGCCATGGACAACTCGGCTTCATGGTGACTAAGTGGGCCACCGTGTGGACAAAAGGGAGTGCTTCTTGCATTTTGACTTGGTGATTCCATAGCATTGTGTCAGCCCTTTGATGCCCTTTGAAGAATTCTTTACCCTTTCCCCAACATTTTTAGCTGTTTTGAACAGGGGCATTGTCAACAATAAAACTGTAGTGTTCTGTAAATTGAGCCAAATATTATTTTAATGTGCTCTATGAGGAGAAAAAGTCTGGAAGCACTACTTTGGGTTGTTACCCGTTCATTTCCAGTTTTGCCTGGATCAGGTTTAGCTGTGGCTTCCTATAATCTTGCCAACTCTAGATGAAATCATAAATTGAACTGCGTTCATTGTATCTTGTAATCAAACCATGGAAGAGACCAACACACCCCATGGCTCTTCCCTCACGAGCCTAGATCAGTGGTTCCCAAAGTTCAGTGTGCACCGAAACCACTCGGAGATCTCATGAAAATGCAGAGCACGTTATCCAGTCTGGGGTGGAGCCTGAGAGTCTAACAGAGTCCGGGGTTAGCAACTCTCTAGAGTATTCCTCACCCTTACTCCAGGGGTCAGTGAGGGGTGATTAAATTGTTCAACCAGCAAAACTTACAGGTATGTTCAACCTTTTTTTTTTTTCACTTGCAAACGTACACACAAACAGAGCAGAGTGAACCCCGAAGCATCACTGGCATTTACCAAACTTCCCCTGCCCCTGACCTTTCTGTTCTTGGACTATTTGAAAGCAAATCCAGCCATTTTATCATTTCAGTATACGCCTCTAAGAGAGCAAAATTAAAAACACACACATACACAACACCGTGTCATTATCACACAAAATTAACGATACACACAACACAAAACATCATTCCTTGACATCACCTAATACTCAGTCCATATCCATGTTCTCGGATGCAGGCAACGGATGGGTCCCCGGGTCAGCTACTCCAGGGCCCCAGGCTCACTCCCCTAAGCTGAACACCTTTGGTTGCCATGCTCCTTCGGCTTTCCTCACCAGCAGAGAGCACAGGTCCTCCGCAAACCGTATCTTATGGCCTGCCATTTTCATTCTTGGGAGAACGCTGCTAATAAGCCTTAGCAAAATCTTTAGGATCGCGTCCTTTGACCCCCTTCCTGGGGCTCTGCCCGGTCCTCTAGCCCTGAGGCTGGGACAGTAAACAGCAGCCCGGTCAGGAGGCCTGGAAAGTTGGCCCTGCCTTAAGTTGGCAGCCCGGGTGACCTTGATGTAGACGTTTGAGAAAGGTTGCTTCGGGAGAGGCCTGAGGGATCAGGCTTCCCAAACTCTCCCAGCCTTATAGCCCTCTAACTTTCCCCAGACATCTACCCATTGCTAGGATCCCACTGTGCTGTTAATCGGTGTATTGGGCTCTGTGCGTGGATTACCTCTCCCCTCTCCAACCCCTGGCTATAGGCAGAAAGGACATCCCTTCACAAAGCACCAGAGTGAAGCTTGTTCCTGCAGTGGTCAGCCCCCCACCCCCCACTCACTGGCACGCAGCTCGTCTCTCTTGCAGCCCATCCCCGAAACTCACGGGGAACAGCCCGCACATTTCCATCCCAACGTTTTCCTACCATATCCCAAGCCTCTGGTGGACCGTGAGCCTCAAGAGAATACACATGGTTTCCTGGCCAAGTGCCTTGTGTCCAGATAGCAAGGGCTGCCAAATCCTCGGCTGTGGACAGGAGAGAGGTCCTGGGGAACCGGGAGAGGTGGCACGTCTGGGCCCCACATCCCACCCTGCTCAGCCAGTGCCCGTGACAGGAGCCCTCACTCACACATTCAATTTCTGGGTTCCAAAGATGGTGTCGGTTGAGGCTCTTTTGGCTATAGGTGACAGAAGTCAAAATTGTTTCTGCAAAAAGGCGGTATTTATTGGGAAGGTGTGGGAATCTCCATGGAGCAGCCCAGACGCAGGAAAGGCGGAGGGAGACAGGGCTTCCTCTCATCTTTCTTCGGCAGGTCCCCTCCGAGTGGCGAGAAACGTGGGCCCGACAGCCCCGAGCTTCGGGCCTCACCGAGGTGCCCACACCGCGCAGTCCCTTAGGAGCTGCCTGAACTCAGTGCCAGGTCTACCCTAGGCCGATTCCGTCTGGATGCCCGGGGTGGAGCCTGGGCACCAGGTCCCCGGGTGACTTGAAAGCAGGCAGGAAGTGCTGCATGATAGCTTCCAGCCCCCAACAGACGTGTCGTTCTCATTCATAACTCGAGGGCCGGGACTCTAAACCCGTGCAGGGTCAGCTGCCCACCCCTCTCGCCAGAGGCTGCAGGCGACGGCCTCTTGAGGCAGCCTGTGGACGCGCAGCAGCTGCCTGCCCAGGGCCCTGCGCCCATAATCCCACAGCCCCTCCGCCGCTTGCTCCTCTCCTCCCATCCCTGACCCCCAGGGAGCATGCCCGCCATCATCTTGTCAGGCTTCCTTCAGGCCAAGCTTGGGGGAGAAGGCTGGGCTGCATCCTTGGGCTTTGGTGACTTGATGAGAGAGGTGGTCACAAGACAGGCGTTGGAGGAAGCCAGACAGAGCTGGCAGAGGAGGGCAGGGGGAAGGCAGGGGACAGTTATGGTCCGCTCTTTCCAGACGGCAGAGGGCAGTGGCCACTCAGAGACTCTGTTTGGGGTGGGTGAGGCCTGAGCACGAGGCGAGGTGCCGATCCGGGTGAATTTTCCCTATCTCCCTCTGAGGACATTTCCCCCTTCTATACTAACATGGTATCTGTACTTCAAGACCAAAAGCCCCTCCAGGCTGGCCCACACACTTCTGCATGAGGACGGGACTCCAGCCACAGTCCCAGGCAGCCTCAGACCACCTCTCCCTACTCTGGATGCAGGGCAGGGATGTGGTGGGACCTCAATAGACTGGAGAGGAGGAAGGGTGGGTGAGGAAGAAGGGGCAACATTAGGGCACTTGCAACCTTGCTCAGGACAGGCTTAATGCCTGAAGGAGCCTAACATCCTTCTCCCAGTCCCTTCTCCACGTAGCGAGCTCCTACAATGTCCCCTCATTCTGGCTCTGAGGTCAGAGCCAGGCTGGGGAGTTTCCTGGAGCCCTGATCAGCACTGGATGTGCTGTGTAACCCACCCTGGAGGTCTGTCTCCCCATCTGTATGTGCAAGGACCCAGGGACCCATCGTAGCCATGCCAGGGACAGATCGAAGGACACCACACTCAAGACTGGATGTTCACTTCTCTTTCCAAAAAATACCAAACACACAGTCTAGGTGTGGCAGGGGGACAGTCGGGCTGGGGACCTGGACATTACACACCCAGGGGGCCCTTGGCGGAGGCGGACAATTTAACAACTGGTCTGAAAGTCAAAAGAGAGGAGAGCTGGTTAGTGGGGTGAGCAACAGGGCAGGGCAGGGGCTGTGGGGTTCAGGCCTAGGAGCAGGGACTGGCCAGTGTGGTCAGACCTGGGCCCTCACAGCAGCCCAACCGGGGGCCCATTCCTGGGAGCGGGGGGTTGTGGGGGAAGGACACATTCTGGCCTGGCCTTGTGTGTGGATGTGCACGTGGTGCTGGATCTACTGGAAGAGCCTGAGACCTGAACTCAGGGACAGCGGGCCGAGCACGTCTCTTGGTCTTTCTGAACCGTTTCCTCATGTGTTACATGGGGACATTCATCATCCTGGCACTGCCCCCTTCGTGGGGTTGCTGTGAGGAACCTGTCAGCCTGGGAAGGGGACAGACTGTAGCTACCCCAGAGCACGGGGCACCAAGGTCCACCTTTGTGGCCGTGTCCCCGGGGCCCGGCACAGCGTAGGCCCTCACGTAGCCCTGCAATGAGTAAATAGCGGCCCGTGAAAGTGACGACATCTGGGCTGGAAACGTGCTGGTGCCCGTGCGTGGTGCAGGCGGGTCCCTGGCTGTACCTGGACGTGCACGTGCACCTGCGGGCTGAGTCCTGCCTCTGGCCGCCCTCTGTCTGGTTCTGAGTCTCAGAGTGCAGGGTGGGTGCCTACGTGGGGACAAGCTGCTCAGTGCAGCTCGGGGATGCGCTGTGCCCTACTGGCCCCGCCCAGGGTGCCGCAGGGGACAGCAGAGTGCAGGGCTCAGACGTACTCTCGCGCAGCGGCCGAGGGGCCGGGCCGGTAGGGCTGCGGGCTGCTGTTGGTTCTCTCGGGCTCCGGGCATGTGCAGCAGAGGAAGGAGCCCCCCAGCATGGCCAGGCCGGCGGAGGCCCAGCCCACGAACAGGGCCGAGCCGAACTCGTACCTGCAAGAGGTAGGGAGGATGCCTTCAGGGGTGGCTGTAGGCCCGCCCTGTCCCGGGGCTCCCCCCTCCCAAGGGGCGTGCAGGGTGTGGGGAGCTGAGATCAGGGGCCTCCCAAGCCTCCCCAGTCTCTCTGGGTAAGTTCAGATGAATGCCCCCCATTCCCCCTCACCGACATCACCCAGCACAGCCGCATCACCCAGCGTGACCCAGGCCCAGGGCGGCCCGCTCTGCGTGCGTACTCGGGCCCCTTTCCTCATCTGGCCGGAGGAGGGTGTCCAGGGGGGCCGCCGAGTGCCACGGGGAGGAGCAGGGCAATCCCTGCCATCTTTCTCTTGGTCACCCTCTGACCCACAGAACTCCCAGCCTGGGCTCCCTGCTCTCCTCTGGGGCACGCGGGGCCCCTCCACCTAGTGCCCCGTGTCTCCCGCCTCCTGGCCTCTCTGCAGCGCCCCCAGGACTCCCCGCCTCCATGCTTTTGCCTGAGGTGCCCCCCTCCTGGAGGGACCCTGTCTGTGCCTCCTGTGCTCCGCTCCTCTGCCTTAAGGGCCCACTTCAGATGCCACCTCCTCCCAGGGTCTTTCCCTGACCCCTTGTGCCTGACCCTGACTCTCACTGGATGGCCATTCAGCACCCCGGGCTTGCCCGAGCCGGAGGGAGCGCCTGGAGGGCAGAGAGCACGGGATTCCTCCGTTCCTCCGCGGCTCAGCACAGGGCCAGCATACTGGGTGCCTTGGGAAATGTTGAAGGGATAAGGAACAAGTGCCAGGCTGGTGTCTGTCTCTGAGCTGAGCCACCTGTTGCTTGGAGATCTTTGTGGCTGGAACTGCCAACCCCAGGGAACAGGCCCCATGCCTGAGGTCTCCTTTTTCTCCCTCACCACACCTCTGCCTTCTCCAGGGAGCCTTCCAGACTGCAACAGCCCCAGCATCTTTTCCTATTCTCCCTCCACTCCGGGGCCCAAGGTCTTTTGGGATGTCTGGGGTGGAGACTGTCCCATTCTCTACTGTGGCAAGCTGAGATGGGAGGTTGGAGCCAGGTGGGCCCAGGCTTTTCACAGAGCCCCCTCTTCCGCCCTCACGCCCTCAGCCTTACTAGTCCTGGTCATGCTAACTCCTAAATATCTCTGAATGTATTTTTCACTGCTAGCCTCTAGCCCCAAGGTCTGCTCCAGACCTTTGCACTTTACTGGTCTTATCTCCTCCCCACCACGTTGCATGCCACAGCCAGGATTGTTGGCTGCCTTCCGCCCCAGGATGGGGAGCCAAATCTTCCTATGGCCGTAAGGTCCCCCCACAACTGCCCTTACCACTTCTCCAGTCTCCATCTCCCAGCCCAAAGCACCTGCTGCCTTCTGCGGGAATCACAGCAACGGGGTTGCTGAGTGCTCTCCAGGGCCCTGGCATTGTGCTAAGTCCTCTCCGCGGTATCTCATTGAGCCCTCACAACCACGTGTGAGCTGGGTCCTTGGGTCCCAGCTCCATTTTACAGAGAGGAGACCAGGCTCAGGAAGATAAAGGAACTTGAGCTTTCACACAGCAAGCACACACAGAGCTGGGATTTAAACCTGGATCCGGGTTGCTTAGCCCCTGGAGCGCCCTCCACAGGCCTCCTGCCCCTTCAGAGGGCCCAGCCACACCCTGCCTAGCTCCCCGCTCCAGAGCTTCTCAGTGGCGACACCCAGTGCTCATCCCGTTTCTCCCTCCAGGTGCCCTGCTGGACAAAGGCAGTGGAGCGGGAGGCCCAGCTTGTCCCTTGGTCCAAGCCATGCCCTGGCACTCACCTGGCATTGATTGGTGTGCTGGGGTTGAAGAACTCCTGGGTCACCAGGGTGGCATACCACGAGACGGCTGTCAAAGTGCAGAGGCCTAAGGACAAAGGAGGGAGTGCTCAGCCCTTCTCTGGCCCCAGTCGGCCACCCAGAGTGGGGCCACCTGCCACAACCGAGATGGTGGAGAGGGAGCCAGGGACACTCACCTGCCAGGAGGAAAAGGGCACCCCCAGAGATGGCGATGCGGCTCTTGGCAATGGGGTTGCTGTCTCCAACCCGGGTGCACTTCATGCCAACCACACTGAGGACCATGGCCACAAAGCCCAGGAGCACGGCCACCACCATCAGGGCTCGGGCTGACTGGATGTGACCTGGGCAGGGCGGGAGGGACTGAGTAGGTGGTCGGAGAAGAGGGGAGGGGGGGTAGGAGGAGCGGCAGGGTAGTTTGAGTTCTCTCGTCTGCTGCTCTTTGGCAGGTGGCCTCCCTTTGGGGCCTGGCCCACCTTCTCCCAAGCAGTAGGGGTCAGTTCCTCCTGGGGCCTTGCGGATTCAGCAGAAGAAATAACCAAGGGTGTCCGAGGCCCAGCTCGTCCCAGGTTGGCTCTCGGGCAGGGACGCCTTCTCTATCGGTCATTCTGCCTCCTGGTCACCTTCCCCTCTGCCCTCCGAGTCACCCACGGCAGGTATACACCTGCACCCAGGTCAGTCCTGGACCTCAGGCAGCTCAGGGGATCTGGGTCCGTGAAGGAGCCAGGTGATCTGCCTGGATGGGCATGGGGAAGAGGGGTCGTGTGACAGCTGCCCGACTCGGGCCTGTGGGGCCCTGGGCAGAGGGTGGGTGGGCTGGCCCTGAGCCAGGGACAGAGCTTCAGTGGCCCGTTTACAAGCCAACTTGTCAGGCTCAACCCCACACCCCAGGAGAAGGAGAGGGACCTACGTGCCCAAACGCCATGTGCACAGGCCTGTGCGTAGTGTGGGTCGGTGCACCCAGATGGGGGCATGCGTGTCTAGGTGCAGGCCTGGCATGAAGGTGTGTGCGCGCAGTGTGTCTGCATAGGGAGTATGGGGAGAAGTGGAAGGGAATGAGCCTCTTTGAGTGCCACGCACCCCTCTCAGCTAACCCTGCCACAGTCCTGTGCTCTCCTCTACAGATGAGGACAAGAGAACACAGAGAAGGGGTAGTGGCTCCTTTAAGGTGAGCTGGGATCGAGGCTGCCAGAGCCAGAGCCCCTGCCCTCCACGGAGCACCGGGCTGGCCTGGCTTTTCTAAAGGCACAGGGATAGGGGCTGGAGAATGAGGCCCAGCGCAGGTGGCAGGCTGTGGGCAAGCCTCCTCCAGACTCCCCCCTTCCCCCACATCCCACCTCCCCCCACCCAGCTGGTGGGAGGCCTACCTTCCAGGGCGAGCAGTGAGTCGTAGAGTTTGCACTGCACCTGCCCCGTACTCTGGGAGGCACAGGACATCCAGAGCCCTTCGTAGAGGCCCACGGCCGTGATGATGGCGTCGCCCGCATACGAGGACTGCTTCCACTGCGGGAGGGCTGTGCTGGCGATGATGCCCACCCAGCCACCCAGGGCCAGGAAGTAGCCCAGGAGCTGGAGGCCTGAGTTGGCCATGGCCCAGGGGAGGGGAGGAGGGGGCTGGAGGTCCCAGGGCTCAGGGCCGGGCCAGGGTCCCTGGGGAAGCTGGGGTCATGGCCAGGTGAGAGGAACAACTGGGTGGGGGGCGAGGGAGCGGCGAGTGGCCAGAGGCTGAGAAGGAGAGGTGGCAGCCCGGCAGCGGCAGCGGCAAAGGCAAAAGCTCTGGGCTCTAGAATGCAGGGGGAGGCCGAGGGGCCGGGAAGGCCAGGGGCCCGCCCACAGCAGCTGCCTGAGCCAGGGCAGGGTCCCCAGCAAAGCTCCTGCCAGCCCCCTGGGGGTGGAGGGTGGGGCCCTGGCCCAGGTGGGTGCCTCGGCCCCGCCTCCCAGGGAAAGAGAGGGGAGGGGCTGGGAGGAGTGACCCTGCTTGCCCTCAGGGCCTTCCTGCCGGGGAACCCCCTTTAGCAACCGTGCACATGTCCTACAATTTTAATTCCTGCCCCAGCACCAGCCCTGAGATGATGGACTTTGCTGTTGCTTGGCTGACCTGCCCCTTGGGTTTTCTGTCCTCTCTAGGACAGAAAGGAAATGGAATCCCACTTTGCGTCAGGTAAGACTAGAGTTAGACATCAGAGAGAACTTTCTGGAGAGGGCTCTGAGGCCAGATCCAGATGTGGAGAGACGGCTGGGGAGGGGATGTTGCGGAGAGGGAATCCCGGGTTCTGGGGGTAGGGGGGAATATGTATCAAAAACAGGGGAGGCCAGGCCAGGGAATATGCACTGTGGGGTCTGAGATCTGAGGGGGCAGAAGAAGGACCCCATCAAGGCTGGGCCAGACCTGGCTGCCAGCCAGCAAGGGGCCTGGTCGGGGAGGTGGGAGATAGGACTGACCTCCTGGCATCAGTCTGAAGGAAGGCAGACTGTTCAGCCCCGTTAATCCCCTTGCTGGCTGGTTTAGCAGCCCCTGCTGGGGCCGGAGGCACGGGGCCCTGGCCTCCAGCTCCAGAACAGCCTGGCGGGGAGCCGTGGCCTCTGCACATTCCTGGGGTTCAGGCTGCCCCTCCTAGCTCCCCACACCCCCCTCCTCTCTCCCATCCCAGCTCAGCCCTCTGGAACAGGGGAATGTTTAACTCTCCTCGAGCTCATTAGCAATCCCCTCACGTTCAGTTTGGCCCCGTGGGCACCGCCAGGCGTGGGTGCAGGGGGAATGCCACAATCTTGCTCCTACTCTGGCCAGCGCCCCGCCTCCTGGCCGCCCCCTCCATCCCCAGCGGCCCACCTGCCTTTCCTGGACCGCATTGGGGGAAAGCAGGGTCCTGCCGTGAACCCCCCCACCCCCACCCGCAGGCTTCCTCCCCCACGGCCCGGCCCCCCTCCGCAGGGACTCGTCCCCAGCCTGCTCCCTCACATTCTTCACGTGGCTATGCAAACGAGAGGGTGCCAGGCACTGCCCAGACAATGGCTGCCCTGTGCACCCGCCCAGGGCGTGGGCCCCTGGTATGGCCTGCAGCTCCAGCAGCTGGGGGCAGGGGTGGGCGCTGCTGGCCTGTAGTTCCAAACCCCGGGCCCCCTCTGTGCCTGGACAGCCAGGGCCACGTGGATCCACGGACACACAGACCTGCTTCCTGGGACACCCCGAGGGTCCCAAACTCAAAGCTGTTGTAGAGAAGTCAGGGTGGGTTGGGATCCCGTTTCTACCGCAGACAGTTCGGACACAGCACGATCCGGGGAAACGGAGGACATCGCCGGAGCCCAGAGCAGAGACTTCTGGGGATGAAGTGAGCATCCTTTCTGCGCCCAGAACCGTCTAGTCCTCAGGGCAGCCCTCTCCGCCCCAGTGGAGGCAGGCCCTCCACTGACAAGGAGCCAAGGTGGAGAGGTAGCCTACCCTGGACGAGGACGCAGCAGGTCTGTGCGCTAGAGCCACATGGACCCCACACCCTGCCTCTCTGAGGAGGACTCTGATCAATGAGGGGGCCGAGAGCCAAAGAGGGGAAGTGAGCCACTTAGGGTCACATAGCAGTCTCCAAGAGCAAAGTCTGGGGGTGCTGAGGCCTCGGATATACGGGGATGCCTATACACCCCTCCGTCCAGGGCATCCCTCCCCCGTACTGGGGACCCAGAGCCACTTTGTGGTCCAGAATGAGGTTCACCTCCCCTCTGAAGCTTTTCTGTGTAACCCTCCTCTTTGTTATTTGAGGTTTCAAGTCTGCTCTACCAGAATGTTCTCTCCTACCCTGAGGGCCTTCCCTCACCAAGGTTCCAGCCTTTTGGAATCCAGATCCTGCTCCTGGGTGGGGTCCCCTGTTACGCCTGCAGTCCAGTGACTCCCAGGCCTGTGGGGAAAGCAGGAACACTCAGGGCCCCAACTCAACCTCCATCAGGAACTAATTAGAAACTGCCCTGGGGTGCCACACGTCCCTGCTTAACAAGCGCTTTCACTTAGGTTACAAGGCTTCTGGCTTTACCTCTGCCACCAGAAAGCTGTGTGACAGGCAAGTCCCTTAGCCCCTCTGAGATAAAATAGGGATAATAGCACTGGCCCTGTCTAGTTCATCGTGGCAGGGGTGGGGAGGGTCGCAGGGATCAAATCATAGGTAAAAGTACTTTTGGAAAACGTAACATGCCTGAAGAAATGTGGCTAATGAAAGCTCTTCTAAAAGACTCCCACCTGGGCGAGACCCCCACCCCCACCCCCCCCCACCTTTGCCCTCTCGTCCTGGGCGGGGTTGGCTGCCTGTGGCTGGAGACCCACAGCCACGCCATGCCCAGCAGTACCTGGCAGAGAGCCCTGCTTAGCAGATATGTGTTGATCATTGACTGGTTTGGGGATTAAATGTTTCTGCCTTCCTCCCCGTGAAACACTGGAGCTGTTTCCCTGGCCCTCTCCCACTGCCAGCCAGGAGGGCCATTCAGCACATCCTCAGCAGCCACCACCTCAAGTGTTGGGGGCTCAGGAGGTGGTGCCGGTCTTACTTCCCTGCCACTGAGACTCAGGCTCTCCTGTGGAAGCACAGGCTGGGAATGGAGAGGACCTGCTTCCAGCCACACAACCAGGAAGTGAGGGGGTCCCCACACTTCACCCAGGGGCCGGGAGGGTGTCTCTGCAACTCGCGTGGCTGCTGGTGGTGCCCTCTCCTCCCCAAACAACGCTGAGCACAGGCTCTCTTTGATACCCTTGCCGAGAGCCCTGCCAGCGGCCTGGGGTGCCAGAGACCAGCTCCTTCCAGGTCTGTATCTCCCTCCCGTTGGCTGGGTTGTCTCCCATCCCTGCTAATGCTCCCATGATGCCGTCCCTTCATCTCAAGCAGACTTCTCGCCCGGGCTCAGCCAGTCACAGCCAGCACCCTGCCATCACCCCCCTGCATCCTGGACAACCAGCCCTCGCTCCTAATTGCGTGCACTTTTCCTGGTTCTCTGGACGGTGAAAACATTTGGCCTTTCCTGACAATCGGCTGTCTCTGTGTGGTTGGCATACAGTGAGATTGTATAAAGGTCATCATCTGCCTTGCTGTGGAAACTTCTGGAGGACCAGAATCAGGCCGATGTAGTTTTCCGTTCCGTTGCGTGTCCACTACATGCTAAGCATGGTTCCAGGTGCATGAGGAGCATTCCTTCCTTACTCCTGTCAAACATCCTGGGTGGTAAGGGCCCTGGTCCCACGTTACTGGGGAGGACACGCACTCTGAGGTCGCACGGCACCCAGGGTGGAAGTGAGCTTTGCCCAGCCCAGCCTGTGGGCAAAGCTCATGCTCCATCAGTGTGTCCTCTCTCCCTATGGTGAGCGCGTCACCAAACAGGACACGACTGCCAGTGACTGGCGGAGCAGTGACCGCCCCTTGCCCTTGAGCACACTCACACATGCGGCTCTGCCCCAGCTTAAGAGCAGCTGCTCCGCCACGTCACGTCTCCCGCCAGCTCATCCCGATGCCCCCACGTAGAGGTGAGCTCCTGAGAAGAGCTGTCTACACCCGCCATCCCCACTTCACTCTCTTCCCCTTCCTGCGAGGCGCTCTAGCCCACCTTTCATCCACACCACCTCTCCAGAGTGTTGCCAAGCTATCGCAGATCTCCACGTCACCTGGTCCCGAGTGGCTCCTCAGTTCCCATCCGCTCAGCCTCTCAGCAGCACTGCCCCCTGCTCACCCCTCCTCCGGGAGCCACTGCCATCGGCCGCCCCGGGACACTGACCCTTTCGGTTCCCCTGCTCGCGGCTGGCCCCCCATCCTCTGTTGGGTCCCGCCGCCCCACCAGGCTCAGTCTTCTGCCTCTTCCTGTCTACGCTGACCTCAGCCTCCCTGCTTTGAACACCGTCCACGGCCGTGATGGCTCCTGAAGTTTTGGCCCCTCCCTCCTCCTCTCCCTAAACTGTCCAACCGCCTCGTTGGCATTTCTGCTTCGAGGCCCAACAGGCTCCTTGAACTCCAGCATAACACTCGTAACACCGGGCTCCCGGTTCCATGCCCAGCGCCATCTCTCCACAGTCTCCCTGTCAGGGGGAAGTGGCTCCATTCTTCCAAGTACTGGAAGCCTTCATGATGTTCCATGATGTTCCTTCTTCTCACACCACCGACCCACCAGCAACTCCTGCGGGCTCTACTTCAAAAATGGGTCCAGAACCTGCTCGCTTCCACCACCTTCACCGCTGGCACCCTGATCCACATTCCCCTCCCCTCCCCCACTGAGGACTGCCGCAGTCTCTTCATCTGGTCCTTGCCCCAAAGCCCCTCCTCCACATACACCCTTCACCGAGGCCTTGGCAAGGTCAGCAGATGCTGTCACTCCTCCGAGGGCTTCTGTCTCACTGAGTCACGGCCCAAGCGTCCACGGTGACCGATGAGACCCGTCTCATTGGCCGTCCTTCTTGCCTACCCTGTGCTATGTTGGCCTCCTTGCCCTGCCCCTGCCTCCTCTGGGCCTGACTCGCTTTCTTTCCTACCTTGAAAGGTCTCACACACGTGCGGGAGCACATGCACACACGTTTACACGTTTGTTACCTGTCTCCCCCCACTAAAATAGAAGCTCTGTGAGGCCAGGGACTTGTTTGCTACTGTATTTCCAGCACAGGCACTTCGCTGGTGCTCAGGACATCACTCCTGGTTGAGTAAATACATGAGAACTCAGAGTGCAGGTTCCCAAACTCCATACCCCACAGCATCTCAAGCCCAGGAGGAGAGACGGGCTTGTGGCCAGGGGAGCCGTCTGCTCCTTGTCTCCCGGAGGTGTGCGTTGTCCTGCACACGAAGGCCCTGAGGGACGGGGGCTCTGAGGCCAGACGGCAGAGCAGGACGCATGTGGCTGACATGGAGGCATCACGCCAGAGCACTGCTGACCAGCTGGTTGCTGCCAGAGACGGATTAATAATAATCCCTACCATTCATCCAGAGCATTCCAGTGTACGA